CTGGACACACAGTCCTAAGCATCCTGCTCTAGTTTACCCTGCTTTGAGCCAGGAGGTTGGACTAGACAATCTCCAGAGGTGCTTACTCACTTGAGCTATTCTGTGAATCTCTGAACTGTCCTCTGGCACTTCAGTGACCTTTTTCCTGGGTGACACTTGGGGAAAGGGGTCTTGCTCTAGTTTCATGTGAAGTTGTCACAAGAATATTCTGTTATGTCAAGTTCTGAGATTCTTAGGCTGAGCCTGTGGTCTGCACAGTTCCAGGAGGATTTCTGAACTCCAAGAGCCTTCAAAAGTCCTAGCTATTCTTGTTGTCATTTATAAGAATTTCTCTGTCTTATTTGTCTTCATTTAAACGTAATTGTCCTAGCCTTTAGATGTATACATGTGTTGTCATAGTCTTTGTCTAACAACTGCAAGCTACATATCAGAGTGTTTGATTGCTATCTGTATTGTTTATTTTATATGTCTCCTTTTTTCTTTGTTCCTCATTTTTATACATTTTTTAAAGTATTTATGCTATCTTTTAAGTAATGTTTTAATGTTTCTCTAAATCTTCTCTAATAGTTCTCTAATACTACTTAGCTCATGCTCCCTTTCAAAACAAGAACCTTGCAGAATGTTTCTCATTTCCCCTGGCAGTGTATTGGGCTTTTAGGACTCTGGCAAATAGGCTCAGGAGGCAGTACATGGCTGCCTTTCTTGGGCATAAACCAGCAAAAAAACTAGAAGCTATTTGTGCCACATGTAGCTGGTATTATGCTACGTTGTCTGGCTGACACCTGTATACCCAGAAGCATAATGCACGCTCCTGTCTTTCTCATAGGGACAAGGCTTCTGGCTTTGTAGGATTTGCTCTGAATAGCCCATTTACAGGCTGTTACTCCTTAGCAGCTTGCAGTGCAGGTGGGGGCTGAGATCACCCTGTTTTAAAACATGCCAACTTTTGATCTGTTTAAAAGAGCAAAGCTGCATTAGAAGTCAAATTGCTTAAGAATACAGATAAGCTCAAGCCAAAACTACTGAAATAGAATGTTAACTTTGTGGATTGGCACACACGTACTAGGTGGAAGATGGGGAGGAATCATGTTTCTTCTTAGAACTAAAAGTGGATGAAAAGGGTTTCAGATTGTTTATCTGTAGAAGCAATGTGATTTATCTGTAGCCTTGGTTCCTGTGAGTGAGCAATGCAGAAAGCAGTTGTAATTTAATACTAAACCAATGAGGAGCATTGATTTCTACAGCAGGTGAAGATTATGCAAGAGTAGCCTCTAAGCATTACTTGTGGAGCAGGGGAGGGAACTGTCTAATTTTTTGCCTGGTGGTGACAGTATAGATTTTTTTTTTTTTTTACACAACTCAGCAAAAATACTGTTCTATGGGTGTCATAGCAGGTTCCTTTAGATTTTGATTACCAGTTAAAATATCTCAACAATTTTGCTATATCTATCTAGGTCTTATTTTTCCTGGGGACTGAGCACATTGCTTATTTGTTCTTTGGAAGGAGAGGAGAGGGAAAGGTAGTTTTAGTTTTAGTTCATTGCAGGCACCTTGTGAATATTGCATTTTCCCTTCCCCATTTGGTACACTTCTGCAATGGTCTGAGAACAGAAGAAATTCATTTTACCAATGGAATCTCAGTGTTATATTTGCAGAGAACTCAAAGCGCTGCTGGGTGGATCTGGGGGGAGGAGGAAAGGCAAGGAGAGTCAGGCATGTTACTTGTGTTGTAGCTTTTCTGCTCCGTTTGGTTTCAACTTAAACTTTTTCCTAAACTGCCTCTCCTGCAGAACCTATTGTTGAAAATAGTGGGGGAATTCAGGCTCCTACTTTCATTTATGACTCAGCGAAGTTAACAGACTGTGTTAAATTACCAAAGCAGCTTTGATGTGATTTCCTGTGTGTGAGAAGTAGAGAAAGCCAAACCTATTACATTACGCATTACTATTCGATGTAAAATAAAAGGTGCTCGCTTTAGTCCCCAGTTCCAAGTGAATCTAGCACTCCCATTTGCTTTCATTACATTTACAGTGAGAACAGCAAAGCAATCATTTAAATCTTACAAAGTACAGCTGTCTTTGGGAAAGCAGTACTTACAGGTGCTGCAGAAAATGTTTCCCTTTGTAGAGACAGGAGGAGGAGGCTGGTGGTATAAAAGAGCACATCTTCAGATAAAACTATCAACCTCTGCAAAAACTGGTGGGACTGACTGTTACTGAAAAACCTTGGTCTAGCACTGGCCCTGCTCCAAGCGCCTTGTTCTCTAAAGGTGCCCTGACAGAGACTTACCCTCCAGCACTGTAACAGGCCTCCTTAGCTGTAAGAGAAAGTGGCCGATGGCACTGATTAGCTGAAAGAGAAATCTTCCCGAAAGTGGTATCGCTCTATCGCGGTTATTGCAAGCTTTAATGGACCATGATTTACGTGGTCGGTGCGAGTGGAGCTTGTGCATCGTCCTGATGGTCGGCAGCGACCGACTGTGCCCTGCCCATTTTCCAGTGGTAGCTACATTGTGTGTTAGACTTTGTTTGCCCAGTTTAGGAGGCTGTTCTCCCTCTTAGCAGTTCTTTACCCGTTGATGGTTACAAGCAGGTTGAGAGGCTAAATGATAGCGGTTTGGTTTTTTAAAAGATAAATATCTACAGTGTAAGACACGAATACTGCAGGGTCCAGATTTCTTAGCCTCTTGTTCAGTATGCTCCATTTTGTCGTTCTTCAAGCATCCACAGGAGATACATGTTACAACTCTGGTGAAATCAAAATTCAGTATGCAAAAACATCACAAGTAATGTTATCCCTGAAGAAGGCTTTTCTCATTTTTTCTTCAGTTATTTTGAGGAAAACACTGCTCTCGTTGCACCAGCTGGCAATCTATCTCTGTAAACCTTTTTTGCTGCTGTGAATCAGGATATACAGTGAAATTTTCTGTAGCGGAGAGAAGCCGGCAGTTGGGCGTCTGTTAATAGCCTGAAAGTAACTAATGAGGATGTGCAGTCGGAGCGATTGATTGAATAGCTGCAGTCCTGTGTGTTTCTTTTTCGCTCGCTCACTCGCTTGCTCTCTGCAAGCTGTAGGAAGGGAGGGGGAAAGGAGAGACCCAGCTTTCTCTTAAGTGGAAGTAGCACGGATCCCTGGGGCCAGGCGGCCAGAAATGGAAGTTTAAGCTGCATCTGTCTCTTGAAAGGAAAACGGCAGGAGTCAAAATGTCACTGTCTGGAGTCACGGCTTACTCCTTTTCTTTAGAATTCGGAAGATAACAATGGACTTTCTCCTCGGAAGTGATTTTTTCCCTCCCTGTGTTGGGGGATGTTTTGTGAAGCTGGATTCCTTTAAGTCAGGCAATTGAGCTGGAGATGGGCAGCAGTTGTGATAAAGGTATCTGCTTGTGTGTATGCATGTGTATCTGGCTATATATAAAAATGCATTTATGTACAGTATGTGTGTGCTTGTGTAAGGATTTTTAATGGTGTGTATACTTTATTAAGCTATTATTCTAGTAGTTATATTAGAAAACAATCTAAGTGCATCTTTTATGAATATCTGTACTCATCAGATCAGCCTGCATGGATTTAAGATGCCAAAGTCGTATCTTAGTAAGGTCATATTGCCAGAATGAGGAGAAGTTGACCTATTTTTTTTATCTGCAGAGATATATATGTCATATTACCCAGGCAGTTATGAGTCTTCTGCTGGTTGCACGGTTTGAGCAAGTAGTGTGGTAAAGACTGAACTTTGACCTTTGTCAAATTGTGTTCAGCTGTGACTAAAATTGAGCTTCCCTGTGTCTTGATTTTAGTTATCTGTTAATTACTGCATTGCTTACATTAATAAAAAAAAAAAAAAAAAGTGCTCTCTGAATAGTATCTCACAAACAGTGATAGAATACTAAATATGTTTCAGTTTTGAACTTTACCAGCATTTTTAATTTTAATTGCCTGTTTCCTACAGTCAAGTCAAATTCACAACCTTGAATCTGTCAGTGGAAATGCTATTGTCATTTAGTGAGTAAATAAGATACTGAAAAATAGGTGAGTGTAATTTAGCAGTTTAGTAATGCAGTTGAAACTTTGCTGAGGCATCTGTCCTATAGAGCATAAAACCTGACTATTCCCCACCCCCCAGCATCCATTCACCTTCGTTTTCTTCTCTTCCTTAGAGGTCCCAGCAGAGAGATCTCCTCGCAGACGGAGCATCTCCGGGACCAGCACTTCTGAGAAAACCAACTCCATGGATGCTTCGAATACTTCTCCTTTCAAAGTGCCAGTAAGTGTGCCTTTCCTGCAAAGGAGGAATTTTTCTCATTGAACAGGAGGAGGAGATTAAAATATCACAGTGTACAACTAAGCTCTGGGAGGGGGGGAAAGAGTATTTAGTTAATATTTCCAGTTGATCAAGAAGTATTGCTATTAACTGTCATGTATTATCTATGAAATGCCTGGTAGATCTGTAACTTGCTTATTTTCCTTGCCTTGATCTAAAGTTGCAAATAGTGAAACATCAGTGTTAATGTGGTCAGCGACCTATATAAATACTTTCGAAGTCACCGCTAGGGATTACATTACATATTTAATTTTGACTAGGAAAAAGGTTCCTTTAGGTTGGTGATAGCTTGTTATTTTTCCCTTGTGCCAGTGAAGTACATAGAAAATTGAAATGGCTTTATAGTTTGGAAACTGGTGAAATTTCTGTAGGTGTGTTAATTGCTCTTTCCCTTTTCAGTTTTTGTTGTGAGTTTGCTTGGCTGTAAGTCTTCATGAGACTTTTTCAGCTAGAGTGTTGATTTTTTTGCTTGTGTTTGTTTTTGGTCAGTGTATCCAAGAGCACAAAAACTACTGTTAGACTGAGGGCAAAGGCTTCAAGTTAAAATGAGGTGCTCAGTAATTTTTAAAAAGTATTTGTTCCTGTTTTAAAGTATCTAACTTGAATGTTGCAAATATTTTTTTTCTTACCCCTCTTTATTTTTGGCAAGTAATCTGCCTACTTTAAAACCTGAAGGAAAACAAAAGAACTATTATCAAGTGAACATGGGAGATTTTGTATATTCTCTATGGACATGAGTACCGCTTTGGTACCTCAGTGTATATGTTCTTGCTTTGCTTTAGGTAACACTCATCCCTTTTAAGCACACTTCCTAGCTCACTTTAGGTCCTAATGTGTGTGAAACTTGGTTTTTGATTAAATCCTACATTGTGTCATTTTAAAAATAGAATTTAAAAATATCCAGGGATTTAATGAGAGCTATTTAAATTATAAAAGGGTTAAGGTTGGTCTGAGTGTATAGAATATATGATGTATGAAGCAACTTGTAAACTTGTGGTTTATTGAAATTGAAAAAGGGACCAAGGAAGCAGTGAATATACTGGGTATCCATACCTTTTCAGGGTCATAGAATAATATCGATTGGAAGGGACCTCCAGAAGCTTCTGATCTATCCCCCTCTTCAAAGCTGAACCAACTTACATCAGGTTGCTCAGGGTATTCTCCAGTCCAGTGTTGAAAACCTCCAAGGATGCAGATTGTGCAGTGTTGCTGGACAATCTGTTCTGATATCTGACTATCCTCATTGTGAAGAATATTTCTTTTGTAAAGGCTTTCTTGTCAGAACAAAACTTGAACTTCTAATGTCTATTGAAAGACCATGAATCACATTTTCCTCTAGTTCAAAAAACATCTGAAGTAGCAGTTAAAGCAGAATATATTGCTTAGCCTTGAGGAGAGAAAGCTCAGAGGGAAATCTTAGCAATATATATAAATACGTAATGGAAGGGAATAAAGATGACAGAGCCAGGCTCTTTGGGCAAGAGGCAGTGAGCACAAATTGAAATGTAAGAAGTTCCATTTAAATATAAGAAAAAGCTTTTTTCACTGTGAGGGTGATCAAACACTGGAATGCGCTTGCCTGGAGTGGAGTCTCCATCCTTGGAGATGCATTCAGAGGCAAGCTGGACACACAGTCCTAAGCATCCTGCTCTAGTTTACCCTGCTTTGAGCCAGGAGGTTGGACTAGACAATCTCCAGAGGTGCTTACTCACTTGAGCTATTCTGTGAATCTCTGAACTGTCCTCTGGCACTTCAGTGACCTTTTTCCTGGGTGACACTTGGGGAAAGGGGTCTTGCTCTAGTTTCATGTGAAGTTGTCACAAGAATATTCTGTTATGTCAAGTTCTGAGATTCTTAGGCTGAGCCTGTGGTCTGCACAGTTCCAGGAGGATTTCTGAACTCCAAGAGCCTTCAAAAGTCCTAGCTATTCTTGTTGTCATTTATAAGAATTTCTCTGTCTTATTTGTCTTCATTTAAACGTAATTGTCCTAGCCTTTAGATGTATACATGTGTTGTCATAGTCTTTGTCTAACAACTGCAAGCTACATATCAGAGTGTTTGATTGCTATCTGTATTGTTTATTTTATATGTCTCCTTTTTTCTTTGTTCCTCATTTTTATACATTTTTTAAAGTATTTATGCTATCTTTTAAGTAATGTTTTAATGTTTCTCTAAATCTTCTCTAATAGTTCTCTAATACTACTTAGCTCATGCTCCCTTTCAAAACAAGAACCTTGCAGAATGTTTCTCATTTCCCCTGGCAGTGTATTGGGCTTTTAGGACTCTGGCAAATAGGCTCAGGAGGCAGTACATGGCTGCCTTTCTTGGGCATAAACCAGCAAAAAAACTAGAAGCTATTTGTGCCACATGTAGCTGGTATTATGCTACGTTGTCTGGCTGACACCTGTATACCCAGAAGCATAATGCACGCTCCTGTCTTTCTCATAGGGACAAGGCTTCTGGCTTTGTAGGATTTGCTCTGAATAGCCCATTTACAGGCTGTTACTCCTTAGCAGGTTGCAGTGCAGGTGGGGGCTGAGATCACCCTGTTTTAAAACATGCCAACTTTTGATCTGTTTAAAAGAGCAAAGCTGCATTAGAAGTCAAATTGCTTAAGAATACAGATAAGCTCAAGCCAAAACTACTGAAATAGAATGTTAACTTTGTGGATTGGCACACACGTACTAGGTGGAAGATGGGGAGGAATCATGTTTCTTCTTATATTAAGAATTTTCTAGCTCTCAAAAGTAGGTAAGATGACTTGGGTGCCTTGTGGAAGTCTCCGATCAGTGGTCTGAGAAGAGCTTCAAGTGAAGGATAGAAGGGATGCCTATAATGGCTTTAAATTTGTGTGTGTGTGTGTGAGGTCATCTTTATTTGGAGAGGATTTATTGTATATATAAGGCAGATTCATAATAAAAGAACTTGCATTTTTGTTCTTCCAAACATTGACACCTACAGTATAGGTTGGAGGGCTATAGGCAGCTGCAGTGTAGTGCTGTCTCAGTTATTCTTGCCACGGACCTGACTCTGTGCCATTCCTCTTCTATTCGCTGCTTGGATTTCTAACAGAAAGCAGTTTAAGGAAGCGGACAGCTTAACCTTCTTCCATACTGATGGGAAATTATGCTGAGACTTTCATAATAAGTTGCTTTTACAGCTTTTTAAGTTTGCCTCTCAGAAAAGCTATTTAAAAGCTGTCTTCTCAATAGGACACTGGCTTCCAGCATGTTCTGTGCAGTTTTTTTCCTTTCAAACGCCAGGCAGAGGTACTCAGAACAAGGCATCTGTTTTTTTAATACTGCTAATTGGCATTTGTTTAGCATCTGGAATTTTGATTCATAACAGCATAATGGCCTTTAAGCGAACATTTCCTTGACAAGACATTTTTGAGTAGTCTCTTCAGTGGCAGTGGTCAATGAAGGATTTATTTTAAGGGGCTGATGTGTAAAGTTTAGGAAATTTGCCTTCCTACCTCCTGTATGTGTGCTGGAGGAAAAGACATATGTTTAAACTTACTATTGCATGAAAAGTAGAATTTCAGTAGTTATAAACATACTCTTTCTCAGGACTAACTACTACATGGACCAGCATGTGCAATGTGTTTGTTCTGGTTATCTCCCACCAAGGGGAATAAAGTGGATTCTGCTAATGCTGACATTGCACAGTACAAGGCATGTGTACAGAGATAAGAGCCCTTGGTGCTTGTCCTTTCTTTTTCTTTCCCATTTCCTCAAACATTCTTGTCTGCGGTTAAAACATTAGTCTCCATCTAGGTTCAGTTGTGTTCTAATTGTTCTTTGACAATTTCCAAGTGTATCTGGGAGGAATATTGAGAACAGAAGGGCACAAAGATAGGAAGATTGAGATGAAGAGGAGTGTCTTCACACATACAGACAGATATGTGCTGTTCATAGATATGCATATATAGGAAAAGTCATATTTTTTAATAATGGATATTATTTGACTGAACAAATAGGAAGGCAGACAGAACTGGCTAGAAGTAGGCATCGTGACGCATAGGTGGGCGAGAAACCAGCTTTTTCCCTTCCCACACACACTATGTCCTGGCAGAGTGTCTGTCTCAGTGCATCCTGTTCCCTACTGTTGCACTGTTGAGCCCCAGTTGAGCACTGCAGTAACCTACCGTATTGTCTCATGCTCCGCCGTTGGAATTGAGCGACCAGGGTAAATAGATTATCAGAATCTTCCAACCTCCTGCAGTGGCAAGATAGAGGGGAATTGCTGAACCAATCTTCAGACTTGTGCTCTCCAATTTTTGCATTTGGGGTCGAGTTGTTAGTCAGTTATTATTACAAATAATATACGATTCATCCATGTCTGCTGGCTATTACAAAAAAAAAAAAAAAAAAAAAAAGCAAAATAACTAGGAAAGCCTGAGCACAATCTTTGAAGTAATAAAATGATTTTTATAGGAATATGTGTGTATATGATGGAAAGACTGATACTTACGGATTACTTTCCTTGGTTTGTTTCTAGTCAAGAGTATAACTGGATCTATAGAAATACTGTCTGCTTCTTTGCTCTTTAAGAGTACTGCTAAATGGAACAGAAGACAATGCAGCCAGCCTCTAAGTGAAGGTCAAAGCTTGATGAGATCTCGTGGCTGCCCAGCCTCATCTTTTATGCAGTCAGCAAGATTGTTGCTTCTCCAGAGCACTGCTCCGCTACCGTCATGCTGCCAGGTTAGGACAAGTCTGATCTTTTCTGTCCATGTGACCTGATGGCATACGAGTACATACTATTAATTCTGCATCAGCGCCAATGCAGAGATGGAATTGTTGATTTATGTTAGTGTGAGGCATCGCGACATCCTTCATGAAAAACTGGTTGTGCTCAAATCTGTAAGCCCTATTGTAAGATTAACGTTTTTCCTTCCACTTTCCACTCTTTTCTTCCCGTAACATGTTTGTTTGAATCTG